TTTTTTTTTTTTTTTTTTTTTTTTTTTTTTCTTTAGTTGAAAATGCTTCCTTTAAAGTCAAGCACTGAGGAGGTGGGATTTGCTTCAGATACCGCTGCTGACTGGAGTAATTTTTGAAAATATATCTGTCAAATGGGTTTTGGAGCGTCAGACCGCTACAGTTGGTTTACACTTGGTTGTAAAAATTGATGAAAGTGTTTTCTGGAGGGAAAATACATCGCGACTTCAGATTTTTGGGTTTTTCAGCGCAACTGAGCTTGAGTCTAGCAGAAATATTTCATTTACAGCAGAAAATTGATCTCCTGATGGTTGACTAACATTAATTCATGAATTACGCTTGGTACAATTACTGTGAATGGCATATGGCGAACTTACAATGCAGTAGAAAACTTTGGAAATTTTGACGCCGTTCCACTCTCAGCTACTTTTTTAGTTTTCGTCGTATGGGTCAATAGAACCATTGAGAGTTCTTTTAACAATTATATATGAGTGCGTGTTTTGGAAAACGTTTCCCACCGATTTCTTCGGTCCACTCATGCAGTAGATTAAGAAGATTCATGTACACACCCGAAATACCGTGATTACTTGAGGATTTTTGGACAGACCAGGAAATAGTCTATAGATTTGAGGACTGTGAGTGGAGAAACTGCACGGAGAGTGAATTCAAACTTTCCAGATTCCCAGAACCGCGGTTACAAGATGCCTGGGCTATTCACAGCACTACTCGCTGACACGAAAGCGATGGCAAAAGGATTAAAGAATTTTTAGCATCAGAGCATCTAAAAGTTGACAAAAGCTCTATAGACAAGTGTGAAACTACCAAAGATATTTTAAAGAATTTGGTGAAGTTTAGCTTCAGAGGTACAGGAATCTCAGATTTTAGCGGGAATGTTCTTTTCTAGCCGGAGAATCTCAGTAACGAAAATTATACTGAGCTAACTGTCATCATAAAAACCTCTAGCTAAGACTTCAGTAATCTGCATTAATTGCGGCAACAATGCTTGAGCTGGAAACCTCTTTTGGGCAGGGGTCAGCATGTATTTAACCAGTTATTCGAGATGAATTTTCGCTTAGGCGCTATTGATTAGGGTTGTAGATTTGGCTAGAAATACTCAATAATCGTTTGGAGCCACATTTTTCTGGGACATCCGTAGAAGTGCTATAGTAAAAGACCTTCTTGTAAAAAAATATTGTTTTCAAGTAATTCAATTTTGATTTGTCTTTTCCATTATATTTTACAAAACGTCTCACATTTTTGAAATTCTTGATATGAAATTTTCCGGATTTCGCTCCGGGTGAGGTGGATAATAGTCTCAGAGTAAAATGATACTGCACTTCGAGTTATATTTGTGATGACAGTGAACAGTTCCTCAAGAACTTCTGGAAGCTTGTTATTGGGACGAAAGTTTGAAGGGGACTGGCAATAGGAAGTTTGGTCGTTTTTCTTATTGACGGCAATGAAGAGCGAGGGGTTTATAAACTGGAAGGAAATGTCAGGAGATGCACTTGTCTTTTTGATATAAATGTCCTCAGCAAAGAGTTGATTTCACAAGGTGCTTAGTGGCAGAGTTTTAGACCCAAAGTTTGCAAAAATCAACGGTAGA